TTTTATGTATTATCGAGCGAGACTCTAGCACTACTTATATAGATTTAGATATCCAAACAATTGTAACTACCGACTGTGATGACGTATCCTCCTCACTAGGCAAACAGTATTGAAATAAACCATCTTTCTTAGATGACCAAGAGGCACCAAAATAATGTTCCAACTCAAAATCATTAGACCCTGATTGCTTATTCTGCACATCCGTCACTGTAACTATATATTTATAAAAAGAAGAGTGTTTGTTCAAACCCTCAAGTATGCCTTGTATTAAATTATTATATGTAAAATCAGATTTCTCCTTTCTTTCACCGTATACTTCATCAATTAAGGTAGTTAACTTCTCCTTAGGAATTGGCGAATTCTCGTTATCCAAAGATCTATTCCCAATTTCCACATTCATCACAAAACTCAAATATAATTATTATTAAACACCAATTGTAAGTTCAACAATACAGTATCCCTCCAATATCAAGTCCTCATACAATCGAAACCTTCTACTATCACCTCATCAATATATATCAACTTAAAGCAAGTTCGAACTTGTTTTAAATATCCAATCCATCCCATACCATCTTGATTACTGAATGGATGGGGATAGACTGCATTTTGACAGAGAATTCATCGTAGAACAGTCCGATATATCAGAAATTCGAAATTGAAAAATTAGACGATTTTAATATTTAAAGATCGATGAAAAAAAAAAAATGTAGCAGCCATTTACATGTGAAGTCAAGTATTTAAAGTCAAGTTAAGACAAGTCAAGTAAGCTAAATTAGAATTCTATAAGAGACTCTAATTACTTTATTGTTTAGTAAGACGCTGGTTTGTTTTGCTAGGATATTTTGGGTCTTTCTGGGTCAGACTTAAGTGGTTTTTTTTTACTATTGCATTTTATTTATACAGTTGTAGGCCAATAGGTAATTCGAATAAGAATAGAACAATTGATAATAATGTCATCTGCTCCATTGTTACAAAAGGCTCCTGGTAAGAAGATTTCTTTGCCAACAAGAGTTGAACCAAAGGTTTTCTTTGCTAATGAACGTACTTTTTTATCATGGTTAAATTTTACTGTTATGCTAGGTGGGTTAGGGGTTGGTTTGTTAAATTTTGGTGATAAAGTTGGTAGAATTAGTGCTGGTTTATTTACATTTATCGCAATGGGTACTATGATTTATTCACTAGTCACTTATCATTGGAGAGCTTCTGCAATTAGACGTAGGGGTTCAGGTCCATATGATGATAGATTAGGTCCTACTTTACTATGTTTCTTCTTATTGATTGCCGTTGTCATTAATTTCATCCTGAGATTGAAATATGGTCAAGACACTGCTTAGGAGTTCTACCTGTGTAAGGGAAAGACATTTTTAAACGTTGTAAAGTTCATCATCTGTTTATTTGACCTCCTTAAGTGTGTTTTTTTTTGTTTTTTCGATATCTCTTTCTTACCTAAACTATGGAGCGCTCCAAACGATTTTAATCATTGTTTATATCAATTCTTTTGTAGAGTTCCTTCTCACTACTATTTATTAGTGACTTTATATCCTCAATAATTATAATTATAATGATAATATTAATAAATATATGCATTTGATAATATTCTAAATGACATGAACTTTCTTGCATTAAAAGGATCCCTTTGGTCTCAAGGCTATTACCTAACATGAAACATCCTTTTTGTATAGTATTTACAGCTACCAAACGGTATCAGATTTTTTAAAACTTTCATTTATTAACTTAGTTATACTTTTACATAATAAAAATATATAAGAAATGAATTATGCAAATGAACACATCGGTTCTCGTGCTTTTTCATCAACAAATCTGTCAATGACTTCTAAATCTTGAATTTGTTCCATAAAAAATTCCATTGATTTATTATGCATGTTATTTGGGGTATAATTATCTTTAATTTTGTATTTTTCATGTAGTCTAGATGTGAAATAAAATAAAAGACATTCGTAAACGAACAGATACTGATTGATCGTCTGAACCATCGATATTCTTTGCTTTCTGAAAACATTGATTGTCCACACAATTGGATCAAACACATCGTAATCTTTAGACGTGGTTTCATTAATATAACGCTGTAACTTTTCAAAAATATTTAAATTCGATAACACTGCATCTACGGTACACCAAGTGCCTGTTCTACCACAACCGGCAGAGCAATGCACTAAAATAGTAGGAACTTCACCTGATGCGTATTTTTGTTCTTCTAATAATTTATTCATTACTATGTTTTTGATAGATGTCATAACTATTAGTTCAGTTGGATCTAACATTGTTCCCAAATCTGGCCAATTAATTAATTGTAATTGTAAGGTATCATATGTATTCAATTTCCCATCAATATAATATTGTAGCTGTATTCTTCTTATAATGATATTGGATAAACTTTTCGATTTTTCAGTACCTGATGAACAGTCATCCTTAGAATATATAAGTTCTGATAGTTCAATCTCTTCTAATAATTTTACTTCAATGTCATTATATTTATCACTATTCCAATATTGAAAACATTTTTCTATACCGTTTTCGAATCTATCTGTCAAAGAAAGTATTAATGGGACATTATTGTTCATTACACATGTGTAAAAATCATAGACAGTCGAAAGCATGGGTGCTTGAGTAGCAATATATCTGATATCGGATAGACTTGGAATATTATCAATTTTTTTTAAAGAGATATCAGAATTTTCACTATTTGGAATTGGTATTTCAGGTAATTTCAGGTAATTAGCATTAATATAATTCTCAGAAATGTCAGATAAATTTGAATTTATATCAGTTATAGTTCCCAAAGAATGTTTTCTTAGGATAACCCTTGAGTGTTCATAGGGAAATATATCTTTATATCTATTTTTCGAACCTAGTTCCAAACCTGAAGAAATTTCTATAGATTGATCATCGTCATCATCATCTCTCAATTTCAAAGGAGAAAAAGGTTTTGAATTTGAAGATAATTCAAAATTTGGTTGTGACATGGATCTTTTTTGTAATTTTAGTGCATTTATAGCAGGATTCCCAACTAAGTTCAAATTACAATCCATATTGGGTGGTTTTAATAAAGTGCTCGTAACGTTGGCATCAATCGAATGACTTGTTTTATGGGATAAACAATTGTTTAATCTTTTTCTCTCCAAAAGATCTAATTTTTGAAATTGCATGATGAAGTCAACTTTTGTCCTTTTCATTAAATTTCTAAACCAGTTTGGTATGACTGAATTAATTTCATCTTCATCATATTGTAAGTATAATTGATCGAATTTTTTTTGAAACTTCAATTTATCAGTATTGCTATTACTACTTTGTGAGGCATTATTGGCATTTGAAGCTGGGAACACAAATGAGTTGATACTTTTATTTTCTAAATGTTGTCGTTCGCTTATATTGACAGCACTTAAATAAGACTCCAGATTCATAATTTCTTCATTTCTTGGGATCTTAAATCTCAATTTTGGTGTGTTCTGGTATGATGGTAATTGAAATCTTAATAATGCAGAGATTGGTGACGATGGTGAATTTGGTGAATTTGAACAAGGGGGAGTCACTGAGTTTATAAATGATGATGAAGATAATGAGGATGAGGACAATTTTTTAGAGTTTTCTTCTGGTAAATTCAATTTTAAATCGTGAATGTCATTGTCATCATTTTGTAGTCGATTTAAATCAATGGTATTGATATTATTTTCTATTAGACATGGGAATAAAACGCTAAATTGGTTAAAACCTGAGGATAAAATTGAAATTGTAATGTTGTTTGAATTTTCCAAAGTTGATAAATAATCTAACAGTTTTAAAGATATACCATAACAGGTGAAAGGTATGTTGTTATCATTTTGAATTAGATTGTTATCATAAATGATAATCCTCAATTGATTAGAGTTTGATATTTGAAATTTTTTCAAAATTAAATCTTTAATCGATAATGATAAATTATCTAATAATTTATTAAAAGTGAAGTTTCTTCTTCTTAGTAAAGTTGAAGGTAAACAGACGTTAATGGAATCTTTAATGTGAGATTTGGAGAAATCCACTACTGTTCTTAAATCTATTAGCAAAAGGTTATTATTATTTGTTGAATCCAGTAATTTACCTAATTCGACGCCAGTAATAATACTTGTACCATTTGGTTTTAAAAATTTGAGGTCGTTTTGTTTTGTATTACTGTTGTTGGTGCTGTTGCTGTTAATATTATTGCTGTTGTAAATGCTAGAATTTGTATTAATATTTGTATTTGGTGATGAAAAACTTAATGGATTTTTGAAAAAAGTCGGACTATTGATAAAACTGATTGAAAAGAAGAATTGGAAAATTTGAAAAAGATCTATAATGTTTTGAAAATGGAACATGAACTATCGCCTTTGGGGAATAAAAAACCAAGTTGGAATTGAAGTTTAATCGTTTAATAAAAAATATTATTGTTTTAAAAAAATTCGTTATCCCATAAAAAAAGTATTCTGCACATGGGGCAAAAATGTCAACAAGTTTTAAAATAGTTTTAACCTTCGAACAATCCCAAACTTCCGGGATAAATAATTTCCCCCAACCCCCCCAAATAAAAAAAATAAATAAACGGGGGGGG